GACACAGAAGACGAGCCTCCAAAAAAACAAAAAAGGGGATTTATTAAGCGTAAGTTCACTTTATAAAAATATTCTCTTACAAGATACTTAGTACTTAGTTATATCTCAGTTTTTCTATAAACTGCTTATAGAAGGAAAAAGGACAAAATGTATAACGTCTTTAAAAGTATTGTACATAAATATTTAATTTCTTTTTCATTTTTTTGAAACACTAATGAAACGCTAGAAAATAAATTACACCAATTGTATAAAAAACAAATTATCATGTTATTTGCAGCAGCTACACCTATGCCGAAAATATGTGACGAAACGAAATCCAGCAACTGTAACACACCCAATTTATGTAAGTAATTATTAAAAAACTTGACCATGTAATTTTTTTTTAATATAATACAGCAATGTCACTAATTTTTCAACATCGACATATTTTTAAATATATGTAATCTTATAAATAATTTTCATAGCTTTTTTATACTATAGTTAATACTGTTTTCGTTAAAGTTTACGTATTTACCTTTTCACATTAATCCAATTTTCGTTGTTATTAGTTACAGTTTTGTTGTTAATTTATGTATATTTCTACCTATTTACAGCAAATACAGTGCTCGAACATCATCCAGAAATTGGTAAGTTAAATTTGGTTCGTTCATTTTCATATATATTCTAATATACAGCTATTACTTATTTTATTTTTTAAATTTCAGTCGAACCAGGCGAAGTTGATAGCTGTGAAAATAATAATGATACGAACGAAAACATTCCATTTGAATTAAATAACTTACATTTTAATAAACTCGATAATCTTTATGACTTTAATAATAAAAATATAACTGATATTTCATCAATATTAATAGGTAAGACTTCAAATTTATTTATTATTCGTTCTTTTTTAACTTAAAATGACTAGAAATTAAATATTTATTTGCAGTTAACTTTAAATATATATTAAAATTACTGAGTATGGCTCTCGTGGATCTAAAAGATTTAAAACAACGTTTTGATCAAGGTCATTTAGCACCTGCAAAATTTGATGACTAAAAAAACAAAAAAACGGTCAAATTATCGTACGAATGGGATCACTGTATACAACTTTATTTATACATTCATGAGGTTGCTAAGTCTATGAATATTTTTTTTTCAACACTGAACTTAGCGCATTCTGCTGTTGCGCTTGAAAACTAATTCACGTTTCAATTAAGCATTAGCACAATTCGGCATTGTGTGCACCTGAGTCGCATTATGTTCTGTAATTGGAAAATCACAATCGTCTACTAAACAGCCATACAGAGGAAAATCATTGTTGTTGTTTATTAGAAACTAATAAAATGTTTAAAAAGCTCGAACGCGTAACAGATTATCTAGACGTTTATTTTTAACTAAATTGTACTTGAGAGAACTTGGCGTAACAGTAACACTTCATCTAAAAAGGGTTTATTCATAACTTTTTCAGTATTCCATTGAGTCTAACCGTCTAAAATTAACTTTAATTTCTTTTATTTAGTTAACTTATACATATCTTTGTAAGATATTATTTCTGAACTGTTGTTTCTTGAATTGTTAGTAACTGGTAAACATTTACGATCACTATAATTTCCACATGACAATTTAAATTATAATTATTGAAGTGAAAACTTCTTTAGAATGGGAGTGATCTAAAAAGTAAATAAACGGAAACGGAGCTATGTAACGAAGAAATGAAACGGCTGTTATACTAAATAATGAGAGAAAAAGAGAAAAACATATAGGATTTAGCCTGCGAGAGAGTGACACGGAATATAGCTATACAGTTTTTCCTATTCTCGGTCTCCTCTTTATGCTATGCTTCGTAGTTATCCCTCCTGGTTAAATATGTGTGTGTTTGTGTGCGACTGCATACTACAAAGCGTGGACACATATTATTTCGATACTCGAAATGTTTGTAGGTAGGAGCGATAGAAGGGTAGAAGAATAAACAGAGATAAGCACGTAGGTATGGGACAAAAGTATAAGGTCGAAACGAACCGACGGTCGAAATAAAGAAAAAAGGTGCGTGGTCTGTTTTTTTTACCAAAAGTGTCATTTTTTTTCTATTTAAAAATGTTTCTATTTTATTGAAAAACTAATATTAAATTATTTATTTAGCAAATATAATTAACAATTATGAAATATATAGAATATAATAATTGTATTGTCTGCAATATTTTACAAAAAAATGAAATGATTATCAGATACATCAGAGAAAAAGAATTAGACAACATTATAGAATATTTTTCTCATAAATATCCAAAGAATTGTTTTTTAATTATAATGTTTGCGTATTTAGGAAATTTATACTAATTTTTCAATAAAATAGAAAAGTTTTTAATAGAAGAAACTAGACACGTTAAAAAAATAAATAAACCATATTTACTTTATATTTCCAATAAGAATAAAATAATATAACTTATTTTACAAATATTGAAAAAAAATATAGAAAATAAATTTTTAAACAAATTTTTAATATTATAAAATAAAACAACGAAAATAGAAATAGATTTTAAAATCGTTGATATTCAAAACCCGATGAAACGAAAAAAATACGACCACAATTGTTCCCTTCTTTAACAGCATCTAAAGTTATTAGTTGCAACACAAAAAGAAATATATATTTTATTTATTATTTATTAGAAATATATATTATATTTACTTCGGTTAGGACGACGTACCTTTCTGTCGACAAATATTCTACATTTTTCGAATCTATCTATGGCTATCGTATTCAGCATTCCATCTTGATGGATAGAATTTTAAAAATATTAGTTTTTGTCAGCTACCTACACCCCAAGGTCGGTTCCTTTTCATGAGAAAAGCATTATAAAAAACAGAGAAGGTCTGTTGAAATTCGATTTACATTTATTATCTTTATTATCGATGCGATAATATTCATGCCTATAGTTTTTTGTTTTTACAAAACGTGTCATATCTTTTCTATTTAAAAATGTTTCTATTTTATTGAAAAATTAGTATTAATTTCTTTATTTCGCAAATATTATATTAAATAATTATTAAGTACATAGAATATATAATAATTGTATTGTTTAAAATATTTAAAAAAAAAAAAAGGATTACCAGATACATCAGAGAAAAAGAATTAGAGAATACTGTGGAATAAATGAGGAGCAGTTGATAAATTCCATTCAAAAGCAAGTAAATTACTGTCACATTTTTATATTTTGCTTCTTTATAAAATATATTTGATACCTAAAGATAAAATATGTCTATTAAATTTGATTTTTATATGAAAAATATCCACGGAGATGTACTGACCCATGCATATATGAAAATTATATTATAAATTGTGATATTTGCGTATTTAAGAAACTTATACTAATGTTTCAATAAAATAAAAACATTTTTAAGATGTTGAACGCCTAGCGTGAATCGTTGGAGCTTACCACGGGGCTGAAATTTGAAACTCGTAGTTTACACAGTTCGATAAGCTGAGAGAGCGATACGATTCAATGCATTTTTTAAATTTTTCGTTGTTCAGATCTTTATTTAGACGAGAGTATTTAGAAAGATAAGTTTGTGGTTCAAGAATAAGGACGAGATATGTTATAAATAATAAGGGTCTCGAAGTGTGGTAGGCTACTGAGTTGAAAAAACATTTCTAGAGAATATCTTCATTAGATCTTTCATCGCATTTTACCAGAACCTTCGTTCAGTCCAGCAGTATTTTCCATATGTTTTTCGTAACGTCTTTATTTCATTTATCCTAAAATGTTTGTTATATAACGCATGAATGTAGATGAAAACGGGAAATAGAAAAACATTTTAACAAAAAAAATCTTATACCTGAGTTTCAAAAAAAGGATTATTTATTTTTACCTAATTTCTGACGAATTATATTTCCTTTGATAAACATCCTACCATTTTGGTGACTATTTATAACTATCGCATTCAGCATTCCGTTTTTATTGCTTGAATTGTGAAAAGTACACTTTTTATCAGCTATTACACCCAGAGACCATACCGGTGACCTTTATTATATATAGTAATAATATTATAATAAATAAACCCTACAATTATCTTACTCTTGAAATTGTGCATTCGTCTTATTCTCTCGAAATTTAGATTTTTGAAGGTTTCACTTCTAACACGTGTGATCTGCACACATGATTTTTTTTTCGTTTACTACATATTATAAATAATAATATGAAATTATTTAATGGTAATAGAAGAAGGCACAGAATAATAAGTACGTTTTCAGAAGATTCAGAAGATACCATATTCCGAAACAAACACCTAAGAATAGATGTAAAAGCACATATATACAAAACTTCTATAAGGCCTATACTTACATACGCGGCAGAAACAAGACTCGAAACATTTAAAACACGCTAAATCATGGAAGCAACAGAAATGAAGATAGTTCGTAGAATAGCTGGGAAATCACTATGGGACAGAGTAAAAAGCGAAGACCTCAGAAAATAATGCCAGATCGAGAATATCAACGACTGGGTATTAAGAGGTTACATGGGTTTCACAGATTCAAAAAATCGATTTTTTTTTGTTGCTTATTAAAATCTACAACATCTCTAGAATATTATCCGAMAATTTYAACTTSATCCGAGTAATAGTTTCAGAGATACAGCCTTTTAAAGTTGCGCGCTCAAGGCTACCTGCTGGGCTCCGCTTGCCGTAGGTATAAAAGAGCAGCTGCTCGCCTATTGTTCATTCGTCCTTGGTTATTTTTCTCATCTTCTAAGGGTAACTAGTTGAAATACTTCATTTGGTGATTACTTGTTGAACCACGAGGTTTATTTTGAGGTTATAAGTGCCCAAAGTAAATTATATTAAAAAATGCCTAAAGTTTCAAGATCTCATTTAGTGGACGGTGCTCGTAGAAAAGATCGACCCAAGAAACGGAGACAGTCGTTCAATCCTAAAAATCCTGAGCAGCATGATGATTCTTTCACGAACACATCGGCAAAAAAATTGAAAGGTGAAAATAAAGAGCACGCGCCAGAGGAAGCCACACTCCAATATTCAATCATCRATTTTCATCTTGTTTTTTCAACACTATCGTGTTTTGTGCGGTGTTCAAACATTATTGAAAGTGAAGGTGAAGAGAAATTGTGTAATGGAAAAATAACTTTTAAAACTCAATTTGTGTTTTGCGTTTAATTTTGTCTCTGAAATAAAGGCAATGTTAATATTATTTTTGATGACAAAATTCTGTAGATCGTATCTTTTTTTGTTGGCGCATAGTGAGTTTACATTAATGGCGCATATAGAGATAATATTTTTATCGTCTGTGTACTGGATCGTTTGTGACGATCGGTTTGAATGGGCCTGATTATCTTCGGCCGGATTAGTAATCGTACTGCGATAGTAGGAATTCGATCTTCCTAGAATTCTCAGCGATTTTGCTTTTTAATATCTCCATGTGATGATTTAACACCATCATCGAGTTTTTGAAGTTGTTCAAAAACTTTCCATAGCACTGTTTGCTTGTACGTTATTATTTTCTAAGTGCGACTTTTTTTATGCGGTCCCTGACTGCTGCATTTAGTTAATATATCGTACAAAGTTGTTTATTATATGTAAGTATTTATAACATTTTCGAATATTTTTTTGTACGATTTCTTTTATACGGTCCTTATCC